GAGCTGACCCCAGGTGGGAGTGCCAGGAGGATGGGGCGAGGAGGAAGCCATGCCAGGGGGAGAAGTCGCCAGGAGAGCCCTGAGGGGTTTACAGTCGGGGTGGGTATCACCGCCGGTCCCAGCTGGGTTGACGGGCAGATGGGAGTGAATACTGGAGGCAATGGGTCAGGAGTTAAGCAACCGCCCTTCCCCCCCGCTAGAGTCCAGGGAAGGATAGTAAGAAGGCAGGGGGCCACCACGTCTGGAAGTGGCTTATTATTTTGTGTTTTGTTGCTATGTTTATTTAGTTACCCTGTAAGAAGGGGCATAGGGGAAGAGTGTGGGTATCCCCGAGGGACGGGGCTGAGGAGAAGCCTCAGAAGGTTTACCTTTTTTTGTGTTTCCCCAAATGAAGGGGCAGAGGCAAGGAGGGATGAGGGGTAGGCCCATACAGGCGTATGTCACTATAGGCTACAGGCATCTAGATGCCAAGTCAGGAGGCGTTATCCCAACGGAGGGGATGAGGCCAACAGTTGGACGATGCACTGAACGAGGCGTGAGACCGGAGTGTAGGGGTGGTGGAGCCCCGTGAATGACCACTGGGCGAACCATGGGCCGAGTACACTCGACGACCAATCCTGCCTACTGAGAAACAACAAGTCGTGGCAGGCGAGAACGGGGGAGACGACTCGAGGGGAAGACATCTACTCGGTCTGTGATACAAGTCCGTAAGGCACTTGACGTCTACCACCAGAGCGAAGGCCGCCCGATAGTGGTTATTCGAGGCCCGGCAGCCACAAAGTGGGTTACACTATCCTTCATTAAAAACACTCTGTCCCTAGAATTGAAAAGATCACCCTGGTCTGGTGGCATGGACATTGGGGTGAGCAGCTGGAAGCCTGTAAGTCAAGAGTTTGAGGCCAAAGTAAAAGAGCTCAGGGCACAACCATGTCAGATTCCAACAAATCTACAAATTCTGCTATATAGCTTGTCACAAAAACATGAGGAAGGAAAGGAAGTGAAGAGACCAAATTTGGAACATGAGCAAGAACTCAGCCATTACCCTTCTACATCAGCAGTGCTCAACCTCTGGCCATGGGCCAAATCCAGGCCGCGGTGCTCCCCATGGGTCAGGAAATTTGGTGGTGGGGAAGCAGTGGCAATACAACCACCCCTCCCTGCTGCTAAAGTCCATGTGGGGTGGATCAGAGCTGGGGCATGACTCTCCCCCGGCATGGCCAGACTGGAGACAGGACATGCCCCTTCCCATACTGTTCCCATTTCTTCCCAAGAGGCTGAACCATGCCCCCTTCCTCCTGCAGGTCTGGCTCATGTCCCCTCCCCCTGAACAGCTGGTGTGGGCAAGGGGCACACCCCTTGCCTCCACCTGGTCAGCATGGGGCCCGGCCATATCCCCTCCACCCACAGGGTGGGATCATGGCTGGGTCACAGCCCCTCCCAGCCAAAGGGCCAAGTTGGGGTCAGCCAACAGCCTTCTACTATGTGGCTGGATCCAAGTCAGGCTGCCCCACTCCCTCCTCTGCATAGCTGGCTGGGGCCCTGCCGGATCCAGCCCACAAAGGGATTGGGCACTGCCCATCTAGCCCCCTAGCTAAAAGGTTGGGCACCACTGCTCTACATCATTGCAATATATAGGGAAAGAACTGGTTTCTTAGCTAGCTAAAACCCATACCATCCTTCTTTTAAGATAAAAGTCAAATATTCAAATTGTAACTAGAAACAAGCAGTCTTGTGGTCTTCAACATACAAGTGTGATATGTACCTTCCAGTTAGCACTGCTTATCTAACGGGTTATTGCATTCTACCCTTCTCAGAGGTTTTGCATAAGCCCATGCAATCAGACCTGGAGATGGATAAAGCATAGGGATGTGTTACAAAGTCAGCCTCAGCTACAAATTCTTTCTACCTTTGTGACAAGCTGCCTCACTAATGATCTAACAAGTTGAGCAAGAAAGATGACAGGATAGAATTATGCAGAACTGTATATAGAAGAGTAAGGCCAACAGGGAAAGAGCACTCTGCAGTCCATAGGTGACAACTTTTATTTTTTCAGGGGTAGGGGTGGGAAGGGCTAATATGATGGCCCCCCATCCACCCTGGCAGCATGACCAGAGCAGAACTGAGCTGAGCCAAGTGAAACCCACAGGGAGGCGGGGGCAGATGCAGGCTGCCCGCTGAAGCCTTGGGGATCCCCGCCCTGTTGTCCCCTCCCCAGGAGCCCCATGCTGGCAGCACTGCCATGACAAGGCACCCCTGGCCTGCCCAGCAGCAGTGGGGGGGGCATAACTCCATGTCACTTCTCCCACTGCTGCTAGTTGGGCAGGGGGCAGCTCACAAATGGTGGCACAGCTGGCCTGGGGCTCCCAGGGGTAGGGCAGGAGGGTGAGAAGCCATGAGGCCGCAGGGGGAAGCCTGCATCTGCCACCTCATGCACAATTGTGAGGGGCATGTGCCCCTCCCTGGGAGTGCATGCAACAGCAGGGAGCCACCCCCCCTGCTCCCTGGATAAGTCACCCATTGCTCTGGTCTGCTCCCTGCCACAGCCCTGGGCCCCATTCATTGCCTTGACTGGGTGGCTCCCCCAGGGCCAGGCCCAGCCCCTGCTCCACTCTGTCCCTCACCATGCGGGCCTCAACCTGTTCTGCTCCCCTCCTCTAGACTTACCTGCAGGCAGCTGGGGGAGCTGTTCTCCACCTCTGCCTGGGGCTGTATTCCTGGTCACGTGCATGGAGCTCTGTCAGCCTGCAAGGGAAAACCCACTGTTTCCCACAGTGAATGGAAAACACGGATCCTTGCACGATACCGGGAATCTAGGACAAATCCAGTCCTGGAGTCATGCAGCTCAGGACTGGGATCTGATATTCCCATTTTGGGACTGTCCTGCCCAATTAGGGATGGGTGGTCATCCTACCCTCTTCCCACAGAGGCAGTAGCTGAGGAATTCCCACACAATTCTGCCTAACCTTGTTAACTCCATTACAGAGTTTGGTAGAGGTATACATACTACCAAGACTAGCTTTGCTAGCTACCCTTTCTCCATCTGTAGGAAAACATTACCAGCCAATGGGGCAAGAGAGCACTGCACAATGGATCAGGCCAAATGCTCAATTGAATAGAAGGAAGAGAGCAAAGATGCTACACATCCCAACCTCTCAACACAGGAAGAAAAAAAAAGACAGATTTCATTCCCCTTTCATGGATTTGGGAGTTTGAAGGATTTCACCAACCTGGCTCTAAGCAGCAAGCTAAACTCTTGTGTAACTTCACAGAAGTAACCTCTGGATACTGTTTAGTCTGCAGAGGGTAGAACCACTTTGAGAAGAAAAATGACCATCTCCTTTCTCAAGGGGAATGCCTTCTGAGTTTTGAAGGAGTTGGATTTATTATCTTGCCAGCATCTTAAACAGAGGAACTGCCTTTATCTGCACACTGTATCGCAAAACCAGGCACTCACTTCATGATGGAAAATTCTGCTGGAAGTATTATCTAGAGACCTAATATGATAATAGGGCTGAATCCAGGATCTTATGCAATTGGCATGTACATGCTAGCAAAATACTTCAAGGAAACAGAAAAAATATCCCTTCAGCTTTGGCTTCTGTTTTTTTTGTTTGTTGTGCTTATTTTACTTCATGTATATCTGAGCTTCACTAAGTACCTTGCTTTTGTAGATGAAGGATTTCTAAATTGCTCAGTGCATAGAAAATAGCTTAGAAGGCTCCAAAGTCAAATACAGAAGTTATTTTGATACAAAGTGGACCTGCTCCAGACCCCTGAAATGGTTGAGAGACTTGATTAAATTAGTCACGCTGGCAGCTTTAAAAAAAGATGAGACCTTTACAAGAACTCCTTTATGACAGCATTGCTTCTTTCTTAGGATGCAAAAATCCCATGAACATCAGTTCAAACAAAGAAAGACAGAACATTACAGTGACTCAGAAACCAGAAGCATTTATCTTGGAGAGGAGGTCCCTTTTCTTTATATTTTGTTCACCAGATTCCACCAATTCTTTTTCTGCTATTTTAGCTATTTAAAGACCAGTTGATTAAGAGGTTCTAAACCCTGGCTGGGAGTTAGACACTTGAGTGGATTTAGGTGTCTTCCAAAAACAAGATCTTAACAAATGTCAACAAATGTTAGGTGGGAATTAGGCAGGCAGTTCAGGTATTCCCCGGAACCTGAGTTGCTTCTGAGCATCCCCAGAATACCTAGCATGGATGCCCAGGGAATCTGCAAGCATTTATTCAGACACCTAATGAGTTCAGGGGTTGTTGGCATAGGATGATTTTTGAATGAGTCTTTTGGAACTTAGGTGTCCAATCCCCATGTAAGTTCCACTTAGGCACCAGAAATCAATTCATATCTGGCTCAGAGTTTAAAATTGAGGAATGTCAAAGTTTCAGGTCCTGGAGCTCTAAATACTGAAGTGCTGGGGCCAGCTTGACATGCTAGGCAGCGGCTACCTCAGCCCCAATGCTGACTGCTAGCATACCACTGCCACTGATGCAGACAGTTTTGATACAGCCTGCACCAGTACCAGGTACATTAGTGCCAGTACCAACTCGCTGTATCTTGTTATGCATGTTGTTAAATTACAAGTTTTTTGCTCTTTAGAAAAAACTGAGTGTAGAGAGGCATTAAAACATTCATTTCCAAAGGACAACTAATTGCAAAGAAATTGAGTATGACAGCACTAACACTGGTAGACATGCCATCTCCTTGAATTGACACTTTGTTAGTAATGGAGAAGGCAGCCCACTCCAAAAAGAAGAGGCAGGGAAGAGGGAGAAGCAACCCTTTCGCCATGAATGGGCAACATATCTACACTTCAGCATCCAAATACCAAGATGAAATGAAATGAGATTAGCAGTTTGACCAGAGTTTAATGGATATTAGAAAAAAAAATGACCAATTACTTTGGGCTAGGGGTTATCCCAGAGCTACATCTTAGTACAGGAATCTTCAACTTTTCAAACAAGTGTACCCCTTCTACCTCAAAGTTTTAGCTTGTGTACCCCTTTATATTTTTCTCTCATTTTTAAGGGGTGGGGGAGGAGAGCAGATTGAGGCCCCCGAAGTGAGGGAGGGAGTGGGGCTGGGGCAGGGGCAGGGCTGTACAGCCGGGGTGGATTGTGGAATAGAGTCATGAAAGAAGTTCATCCAGGGGGCATGGAGAGGGGGGACGGCTCCTGCCGCTGTGCTCACCCCAGCAGAGGCCCAGGGGGCAAGTGCCCCCCAGATCTGCATGCGGGGTAGAGGCAGGTGCTGCTGCAGACTGGACTGCACCCTGCTGCCACTGCCCCAATTGCCCTGCAATGCTATGTGACTGTTGCTTCCAGGTGGGCAGGGGACAGACACATACACAAATGCAGACAGACACATGCAGACACAGACAGGCATATACACACACACGCAGATGCAGTCACAGGCAGATGTATGCACATATGTACACACACATGCACATGCAGATGCATGCACACCAGCACACATACATGCACATGCAGAAACACACAGAAACCCCTGCCTCAGCAGGTAAGCATGTTGGGGGGAAGGGGCAGGGTGGGGCCAGATTGAGAATGATGGGGGAGGAAGGGAATTTGTCTCTGTTCACTCCCAGGAGCAAGGCGGGGGGGGGGGCAGGGCTGTGGTGCCCCTCTGTAGGCTGTACATGTGCTACCCAGGTGGCTGGACTCGGGGGCCTCTTACGCAGAGGCCACCACCACCACCATCACTGCCCCGTGCTGCTTTCTCATGGCTGGTCACAGCTCTGCAGGCTGGTGATAGGCCTCGTGGCCTGCCAATCACACTCTGCCCATCACCAGCCCACAGAGCCGCACGGGTGAATGAGAAAGCGGCATATGGCACAGTAGCAGTGTGAGGCAGTGATGGTGGCAGCTGCCGCATGCGAGCCCTTCCCCACCCTCCCATCTAGCTGGCCAGGCAGCGTATGTGCAGCCTGCAGAGGGGCACCACTGCCCTTGCCCCCCCAGCCCTGCTCCTGGGAGCAGGCACTGAATGCGGCCTTTCAGTGGGGGGCAGGAATGTGCTGTGGTGTACTGTGTGGGGCCAACACTGCCTGGCATGCCACCCCCCCGGATAAGAAGAAAAGTATGGAACGTGCCAGGGGAAATGCTACCACCCTGATTCAGGGCATGCTCTATCCCCGCCCGCCCGCCTGCCTGCACGTACACCCTACATGTACCTCCGGTTGACATCCCCTGTCTTAGTATACCATCCAACCCAAGTTTCAAGTATTTGCCAGAGCCTGATTGTTGGGTTTTGCTATAATTCTTCTCTGAAGAGTAATAGGTGGCAACTGCTAGGTCACTTTGATGTGATTAAATTCTGACAGAAATGCAAAGATGCCTTCATCACAAGTGCTAGATAATTAGTTATCAATTCTGGTCTCATCTGCTGACAAAACATCACCAAACAGAATACAGCAAAAAGAGTCAAAAACACTAGAATAAAGCTAAATGGTGCATGTTCACAACACTGGAGCTACTTACACTGTCACTTTATGCAAAGTGTTATTGGATTTGTAGTGGGCATGTCTGCCTTTTGGGAGTGACAGGCATAACCCAATAGTCAATAGTAGTGTGAAAGGAATACTGATAATACTGATACACAGTCTAATGTGTATTACAGAATTACATTACGACCTTTACTGCTCTAAAATGGGCAATTTCCTACTTTGAGTAACATGCATTCTTAAAAGCCTTAGACAGTGTGCTAGCAACAGATGTACATACCTAGAAGAAAAGGCTATCATAACAGAAAGACTTTTTGCAGTTCAACCAAAGTGGAATTTAAGGCACTGACCCTCACCTCTTCAATTACAGCTTGCAGATATACTTTACAATAATGTGTTTTATTGAACCTGGTTTCTGTACACCAAAACAGTAATCAAAATAAGTGAAGTCCAAGCCACTTCTATTACTGCTTTAACATTTAATCACTGCATGGATTTGTATGGACTATACGCATTCAACAAGCAACAATTCTACTGTTTGCTGATGGACAGAAGAGAAATGTAATCAATTTCTATTGTGCATAGTACTTAAAGTGCTGTTTACAACAGTGGTAGAAATTGCACCTACTGTTTTGGTTCTTTTTGGACATCTCTGGACATACAGCTGTTAGAAAAAGTGCTGAAATGGTCAGTACAGGCCAGACACAGTAGTCAGACAGAAGGGCACTTTTTCCAAAACACAAGGAAGTATAAACTGGAAATTTCTGTAAATTCTGAGAAGCCAGCAAAGACATCTGATGAAAAAGGCACTAAGTAAAAACTGGAACTAACGCTGGAAGGCCAGAAAGTGACTGGATAGTGTTGCACTCTACAGTGACCTGTGAGCAGATTGGGAATGAACATTACTGATAAATGGGAAGAGGAGATCAAAATCTCCAGACAATGCATAGCCTTGTCCTGAAAGGATTTTACCTAACCGATCAATATTTGAAGGGTTGGTCTCTTTTATTTAGTTTGGCAACAGCTGTATACTTCCCTATGACGATCAGCTCTCATGGAATTGAATTGAAGAGTTACAAACAAGCAAAAGATATCAGTGGATTTGAAGGGAAAAATACCCCATCGGAGTTACACTTTTACGAGAAAACACAGTATCTGTAACTACACAAGTACAAGGTAAAATCCTGCCATTTAAATAATAAACAGTTTTCTTGTAGCATTTATATTTTGAACACATGTGGCATCAGATAGCAAACTAGCACCTACCTATCCAGTGTCCTACCTAATGTGGGAATCTACAGTTTGATTTTATAAATCTGTTCCTTCTTGTAAAATGCGATGGTCAGAAATTTACCATGAAACTGTGGCTACTGTGTCATTTCAAGGGTTTGGTAGATTTACACAGATGCTGAGGAGAAGGACTTTGATTTATTAAGGAACCTTAGCCAGAAATATTGCTGATGTGGTAGAAGCAGGGACTTCAATCAATAAAAAAAAAAAAAGGCTTTCTTTCTGAAGTCTCACAGACAAAGCCTCAAAATTGTATGTTTGTATGGTTGCTTAAAATGCTTTCACACAAGTTAAGAATAGACAGCCTTTTGCATTGATTATAAAAGGTCTAATTAGTGTTTCACGTCCTGTCATGCCCAGCCTTCTAAAGATGCAGGGAAAATACATTTAGAAGGTAGAGAGAGACCTTCTATTGAGCACAAGCTCGAAACTTGTATTTACATTATCCTAATGCCTGTCCATATAAATCAGAAACACATATTCTGACTCAGCGGTGGAGATATGTACATTTTCAAATGCACGTGGAATTGTCACACAACCTTTTGTTTCTGGGAGAAGTGGGCCAGACTGTGCGTGGCTGCAGCATGAGCCAGCCCTCCTGCCTGCTTTCGGGCTATCAGAGAACCCAAATGGAGTAGGAGTGCGCACGCAGACTGAAATCCTGCATGTGGGGCAGTTTCACCTAGCCACCACAGAGGTGATTGTGCCTGCACCATGGCACCCCGGAGGGGTTGTTGCAACACTCTGGTTGAGAACGAGTGTCACAGCAACTAGAAACCACGCTGTTCAGTGTCGTGCAAACAGTTTTCTTTCACTGTAAAGACAAAACTAGATCTGATTTTTTTTGGGTGGGGGGGGGCACTGCAAGAGAGTTGATGCATGAGTTCCTTTGTGTTGGATAATAAAAAAAAAAGTGAAACTATTCTCTATTTTGATTTTGTTTGTATTGGTTGCTCTTCCTTGTGTAAATAAGAACCATCCAAAATTGCATTTTGGCTAACAAGACCTCATTGTACATCACAAAAACAATTAAGCCCTCTCCTCCATCTCAGCAATTTTCATATATTGATTGACTACAACAGGGGTGTTCAACCCCCCGCCTGTGGGCCAGATCTGGCCTGCAGCCTCCTGTCATCCAGCCCGCGAGGCTCCACACAGATCCAGAAATGTGGTGATCAGAGAACAGGGGTTCTGTGAGCTGGATCAGGCACATGATCCCACCACAGACAGTTGGGTAGGAGTGGTACCAAGTCCAGGGCCCAATCCCCGCACACAGCAGGCTGAGAGGGTGCAGTGCTGGGCCTCAAAACCCAATCCTGGCATTCTGGGGGTGGGGGACAGGCTCCTATGGACTAATGCTAGTGGGAGGGGGTGGCACCAGGCCTCTGGGGACCAAACTCAGTGTGGCAGGAGGGCCTGATCCTGGTGCACAGGGCTCAATCGGACTATGGACTAGACTCACCCCACTCATCTGAACCATGGGGCCAAAAAGTTGGGCACCACCGGACTACAGAGATAAATTAAGACTTTGGTTCTGCAACATCAGTCATGTGAACAGATCCCGAGCTCTAACACAGAGCCCGATTCAAGCCAATGTAGAATCAAGGCCTGAACGTGTTCAAATAGAGAAAAAGCTTCTATCTTCTATGATGTTGCATACTTGGCAATAGCTCAGAGCGAATTATCCCATTTCAGTAATTTAATAAACAAACATTATTTACAACTGTAAGGAAGATAACAACAAGCACAGCATTTATTCATCGAACCAGATTATGAAGAAAATAAAACTTTGATTCAACCATGGCATTCATTTCTTGAGAAATGTTAAAACCTATGATTTTATAGGAAAAAAAAAACAGTAGGGGTTGTACTAATTTCTTTTCTACAGATTTATTTAAACTGGCTCCGGAATTGTATAGCAAGGGTATAATCATCTTAAATTCCATAGCCTGCTTACAATCATTTATCCAGAAGCCTATTGGGTTTATCCTTATACATTCTGTAGGAGTTTTTGTCTCCTTTATGTCTATGTTATCCAAACTATCAGAGTGATGTCCTGTGCTTTGAATTAAAGCATATTCTTTCCATATTGAGAACAAAGTGTATAGAACCATGACATACCTTGAAAACTGCTGCTGCAATCCACGCATCTGAGCTCTGCTACGCTCTGACTCCAGTGTCACCTCCCGTAATCTTTTTTCACCCTCGAGTCTCAAATGTCTTTCTTCCTCCAACTCATGTATCAGCCTCTCGCGCTGGAAAACACCACCAGAGGTCACACGTTAGGCTGTGGCAGAGTTCTTATTTAATTTTTTTTAAAAGTGCTTTCTTTGAGGATAAAGATAGTAAAACCTGTGAAAAGAGACCAGCAAACCTATTGAATTTATTTAATTCTGATGATTTGGTCTATATCACTCTGAATTGGAGGACTGGGATGACGACAGCCCAAACCTAAGTTCTCCCCGTTATGAATATGAGAATGATCGTTGGGGTGAGATTCCTTGTCTGCCATTCCCATATGCCCCCTTAAGGAGAGATTTGCAAGGGTTAAATGATGCTTGTCCTTTGTTGGTAATACATACAAATGGTTTAATACACTACTATATCCAGCCGCTATTATCATTAAAGGTAAATGGGAAAAAGGATTTACAGATATTGTTAACAGTTGAGAAATGGGATAGTATCTGAAAATCACTCTGTAAAATATCTAATTCATAGCTCTTAAGATTTGTTCAGAACAAGATATTAAATAGGTTTTATTGGATCCCAGAAGGTTATTTAAAGCAGGGCTAGCCTCAGATGACTATTCCTGGAGATGTGGAAACCAGGTTGGATCTCTTACTCATACTTTATTCTTTTGTTCTAAAATTGTTCATTTTTGGCTTAGCATGTATGTAGCACTTTCTAAGATACTTAAAATTAACAAGGTATCATTGCCAGATATATGCATATTGGGGGTTATGGATTCATTACCATTGTCTGCACCCATGAAAAAATGGCTAGCTGTAATCTTTTTGGTGGCTAAATGGGTAATTTTAAGGAAATGGAAAACTCCCAATGTACCTTCATTTTCACAATGGTTAAAAAAAGGTATGCACGTTGCATTAATAGAGAAGATTAAATATGCAAATAGACATAACTGGGCTCAATATGAAGAAATTTGATGCAATATGAATCTTATGTTAAGTTTATCAAGTGATTTGTTTGTGGTTTGGTATCCTTTAAATGTATATATGTATTTGTTAGTTGGTTGTACACAATGTCAAATTCTCCCCTTCCCCTACTGTCTACTAAATTTATAGCATGTATGTTTAATTATCTATTTTGTAATACTTTTTTTTTTGCTTTTTTATTGCATTTTACTTCATTTATATTTTACTGTTTTTGTTGGCTTTATTTTATTGTTATAATATGAAAATTAATAAATATAATGACAAAAAACCGATGCCTGTCAAGGACCTATGGCTCCCATTGTTGAAAAGGCCACCACCGATATGGAGGGAGAGAATGGGCCAATGACCACTTGATACTTGATAAAGCACCAATAGTAGCTGGAGCTAAGAGAACCCAAGAGGTAGTCAATTTGGTAGCATTACAGGCTCAAAGCAAGGAAATAAAAGACTTGGTAAACAAAGGGCAGGGGAAAGGATGGAAAATTTGGCAAGAGCCATCAGGATTGGCTTTAGCCCAGACACAAGAGGAGAAGGAGGCTCCAGTGTTGGAAAAATTACGGGTAGAAATGATAACTATGGAACATGAACATGGACACTTAGGGACAGATACAATCCTAATAAGACTGCAGGCAGTGGGATGGTGGCCAAGTATGAGGGAGGAAGTCAAACAATACATTAACAACTGCTTACCATGTGCAGCAAATAATCCCGATACCAAAGTAATTAAGGGACCCCCAGGATATCAAAGTAGTGGTCCATGGAGGAGGCCGTGAATACATTACATTGGACCCATGCCTCAAATGGCAAGGGGGAATAAATACTGCCTGGTGATAGCAGATAGCTTTACAAATTGAACTGAAGGAACGCCCATTTGTAACAACACAACTACCACCGCAGCACGGGTGTTGGTGGAACAGGTTGCTCTCCAGGTGGTGGGTCCCCAAAGAAGCTGAGTCAGATTGGGGCTCTCATTTTGTTGGAGAAATCACACAGGCAGTTTGTCAAGTTTTTAAGATACAACGGAGATTGCACAACCCCCGTAGTTCAGGTCAAGTGGAAAGGACAATAGAACCATAAAGACTGCCTTGCAAAAAGTGGTCAACCAACAAGGGAAGGATAGGGATCGAAAGTTACCCTTGATTTTGATGGCACTTAATTTTGACAGCACTAACTGTAGCCGCACCTGGAATCACCCTAAACGAAGTCATGACAGGTGAGAGATGCACCTGCCAGAGCAGTGGTGGCTAGGAGGGGAGCCTCTAGATAGCCTCCAACCTCATATCCTAACAGACCACAAACCTGTCACAATCAGTGGCTACCACACAGCGGCAAGTGGCCACAGCCTTGAAAGCCAATGTCCAGAAAATGGACAAGCAGCTAGGCCCCATACTGCATCCTCAGGAATGGGAGACCAGAGACCAGGTGCTGTATCAAGAGGTAAAAGAAAAATCATGCGCTCAGTCCTCTATGGATGGGACCAGTCCGAATAGTTACCAAGGCCAGTCCAACTGTGTATCAGATAGAAATATGCTAAAAATCCACATGTAAGCAAAAATGGTTTCACTCTTCACAACTAAATGCTTGGAAAGGAAAATAATGAGGGGTGAAGACCTTATTATTAATTATCTTTCAGATGCAGTTCAACAGATCCGGAAGAATGGCTCAGGCAGTGATTCACTGAACACCTGTGATGAAGGCTGAGCTTATAATGAAGGAGAAGGAAAAGGTGTGGGTATGCTTATGCATGAAAAAAACCAAGCAGCTAAAGGAACTGAGTGCTAGCATCAAAGAAAGTACTGCAGAAAACTGGTGGGATAAACTGACCCACTGGAACTTCAGCCAAGGACTTATTCACATTATCACCCCCAGACTATTGCATTATTGATTCAGATTCCTTGTAGTATAGTTGGGTTACATCTGTCTGTAAAATGATAGAAGTAACAAATGAGTGAACAACATGTCTCGCTATTATGGAAGGAAAAGAAACAGAAGGACAGTAATGCAATTTTATTTCCTTGTTCTCTTTTAATACATACATTTTAAGCTGTTTTAATATTAGTAATATCAGTAGTTCTTAGCTTAAATGTTATTGGTTATCGCTGTATTTGTAGTGTTATGTGACGTGCATCACTTACATAAGCAACTGAAAATTTTAATGGCCAGGCAAGACACCCTCCTGTGCAAAGGATAGTGGCTCGGGCAACACTGGGTTGAGGTGACAAGACTGCCACAAAGACTATCTGTCTCCACAAATGGTTACAAGCCATTAGGCATAGAGAACGTGGGGCTTGTGGCACCCAATACCAGACCTGTGTCATAAAATGGCAAGTCACAAAAGAGGCCAGGGCAAGAGTGGATGAGGACAGTGAAAGCACTATCAAGAAGAACTAACAGTTCCCCTGCTGGTGGCTACAACCCACTAGGTACTTAATTAGATAAGCCTCAATGCTCTACTGCACCTGAGCCTAAAACTAAGGGTGATGGCTCCTCTAGGAGGGCCATCAAGAAGAGGATTGGTGGCAAAGACCTGGCACAACCATCACAAGTGTGGGCTGGAAATATATGACAGGCCTAAAGGAGCAGGGGAGGGTCCCAGACTGCTCGGGTTGGTAAGTAGGGAAATACAGTTACATTTTAAAGCTAAACCTGGAAGGGGTAAGAGACTGAAATACCTGAGAAGAGACAGTAACAACGAATGCATGAGAGTCATGAGGGGCACATGATACACAAGGGATGTGAAAAGCATGCTGTGGTCGAGGCACCCATGGGGAAAAACCCAGGCAGAGGAGGCCTGTGGGATCTCCTCCTCATTACCGAAGACCACCTGCGGATCCCCCAGAAGGACTTTCTGAATACCTGGCTATAAGGATGCTCTGTTCTTAGGGTAACATAAGACCTATGCAAGGCTTTCTGTTGTCCTTTTGGCTTATGTTGCATTTTAAGTTAGGTTAGGTTGTGTGTGCTATCACTGTGTCTTACTGGGTTGTGCCTGAGCGTATGCAAAGTTTTTCTATTGTTCTTTGTTATGTGCTTGAAGTTGCAAATTGCTGTGGTCAATAAATGCTCTCTTCAGAAAACAGACTATTCTTGTTCAAGCATTTATGAATTTAGTGCCACTACCTAAAGTCTAATCTTAAGTCTGGTAACACTCTTGCATATCAATATCACCTAAAACAGTATAACCTGCAAAGGAAAAAAACTTTATGCAGTTTGGTTCTCTACTCTCACCCATGCTAGCAGAGGATTCTTTGCAATAAATAGTCGCATGTTATTTTTACAATGCTTCATACTTCTCAAGGAAGATGGTCTTCCACTTTTTGTATAGTTCTACAATCCACTTGCACAATGTACTACTGCCAATAACCAAAGTTACAAAAATAAGGAAGACAAAGGGTAAATAATATCTTATTTCTGAGCCTTTGCTTTGCATGCTCAGTTTGTTAATTCCATTGCAATTTACTGCAAAGAGAGAGATGGAGGGCGAGAGAGAAAGAGAGTGCATATGCAGATTTTAAGATCTGGTAGGGTCACAAATCTGTGACATAATAGGGTGCTGTAAAATACCTCTATCACCTTGAGCTGCTCTCATTTGGCTGAGTCACTGAATTCAACAAAAAAAGCCATTAAAAAGAAAAACTTCTCCCCCTCTCCATGCCTACTTGGAAGCCAAGTTTGGGAAAGTATTTGAGATGCAATTTATGTTTAAATGTTAGTTATTTTGTAGAGGTCAGAATTAGCACAAATCAAGTCCTTTTCATCCTTCACTGGAATGGCATTATTACATCCATTGCTTCATGATTTAGAGCCTCAAGAGCATATCTGGAGTTTCATCCTGTAGCCACTGAAGTCAACGGCAAAGCTCATCTTGACATCAACAGGTGTGGAGGTGCTTGTATTTTATTTTATTCTGATATAGTACTCTAGTAAAGAATCCTGCCCTGATGGCCTATGTGCTTTATTAAAGAAGCAGCATAGAGAAAAATATTTCAAAAGTTTAACAGCACTGCCCTTTAGGACAAAGACATAAAAGTATATTGATATCATGGGCTGTGGACACATAAGGCTGAACAAAACAGCGACAGCATACCATACATGTCAATATGTAGCACGTGGTCATTTCTGAATTAACCCCTTAGCTTCAACCCTGATACAAAAGCACCTCTATTATACATAACTGGCCACACATGATTTCAGGGGGAAAAATAAAACTGGAATTAGTATTGGGATTTTAAAAAACCCTGTGCATTTTCAATGGGAACTACTACAAGGAAATTAAATCGAAGTATATGTGATTATTCCATAGCATCAAACAAGTCAATGCAAAAACCCCATCAACTGCCTTACTAACGTACTATGTTCCACTAGTAAGAGAGCTCAGGCATCAGCTGGTTAAAAGCATTATCAAATTGCACTAGGCACACCATTTATATGCTTTGGAAAACACTGCAAACATGGGGTGGCACAATTTGTTGCCTGTCAAAGATTTTGATGTAGGTCTGTTGCTGACCTAAATTTTTATGACATACCTGCAAAAATGAATCAAGATATTATACATACAGTTTCATTACAAAATAACAAAAGTTTTGTACTGTTAAGCCATTAAATGGGAGAGATTATTTGTACAAGTCTCACAGCTATAAATCTTATAGGATAATAATTTATAATAGCAGTAACCAAGGGACCAAAATATGAGCATTACCAAGTGGAAAAAGGATCTTAAAGACAGTGATAAATAAGCAGATGCCACAAAGGGAAGCTGCAAAGGATTAAATGAAATATCTATACACTTGTGGAAAAATATGGGGAATTATGCAGCGAATAGAGAGCTTCTGTCTAGCTAGTCATACATAA